CTATCTTGTCTTCCTCCAACATCTGCTTCTGCTAGTCAACACTTATATCAAGTATACTATCAATTTCAAGTATGGCTAGGCAATCAACTGGTCCCAGCAGACTGCGGTTGGAAATTAGTAGGTAATACATTAGAGCCAATTCAAACCTTACTCCCACCTGCTTCGGAAATACTTCTTAACACCATCTTTTGCAATTGCAAAAAGAGTTTTAGTGCAAAATGTAGCTGCAAAAAACTTGGGTGATTGTGTTCACCAGTATGTACTAATTGTCAAGGCCAGTCTTGCTCCAATGTTGAATCAATTTCAACAAATGAAGATTTTGATGATATTAATGAGACAGCTGATGTATCTTTTTCAAATTTCCAGTTAGAAAAAGAAGAAATAGAAGGGCAAGAAGATAAAGAAGAAAAAAGCAAAGAAGATATAGTATACTAATATATATATAATAGTATATAGTAATTATACTAATATATAATATATAAAACATAATGTACAGGTTATATCTAATAAGACTTCAATTCTAAGATTAGCAATATATCAGAAATAGTGATTCTTAGAAAAAAAAGTATAAAGACAATTTTTGTAGGCAATTTTATAATATAAAACTTTTACTTGTACTATTTTTGTTTTTGTTGATAAAACTTACTGGTTACGGAAAAATATGAAAAACCATTTTTTTCAACCTTTGACCTTGACTAACATTTCTTGCAGATGCAGGATCAGTGGGGAGTTTTTTTTATAATAATGTCCCCAAGGTCTGTACCAAATTTCAGCTCTATGTGCATTATTGTAAACTGAAATGTCTATTTGGACCAAACTATTTATAATTTAACAAACATATATATATATATATATATATATATATATATATATATATATATATATATATATATATATATATATATATATATATATATATATATATATATATATATATATATTCCAAAGATTCCAAAGAACAGATGTTTGAGGAAAAAAACTAGAGAAGTAAGAATTTTTAGAGAAACTAGGAATAGTTACAGAAAGAGGATGAGATTTTATATATGGTTTCCAAGAAAGATCAGAAGTAAAAGTTAATCCTAGAAGATGAAGGGAAGATGACTCGTTGAGTACATCATCATTTATAACTATAGGAAGTTCTAAATTATTGCAGTAACGATTGGGTGAAAAAAATTGGGCTTTATCTGAATTAAAGTTCACCAGCCACTGTGAAGCAGAAGTAAAATCCTTTTCAAGCCCATGAGAATATCTGTAAGATCATTAATGTAAAATTAAAAAGAGTATAGGGCCGAGGATAGAACCTTGAGGAACCCCTGAAGTTACAGGACATCAAAAAGAGTGCTGTCCATTGAGGACAACATTTATACTACAATTGGAAAGGAAGGATTCAATAATCTTAAAGATGTTACCTGATACACCTTAAGAAGAAAGCTTATGGAGAAAACCAGCATGCCATACTTTACTTCAAAAGCTCTTGAAATGTCAAGAGCCTTCACCTCTCCACCTTTATCTAATAAATGGTAAAACCTATTAGTTATTACTGTTAGCAAATCGGCTGTAGAACAAGAAGACTAAAATCCATATTGATAATCAGAAAGTAAGTTATTAGATTCAAGATAAGAAATTTAGTGTTTGTTGATTAAAGATTCAAAAACCTTGCTTATGATAGGAAGAAGACTAACAGGACGGTAATTAGACAAGTCAGATCGCTCTACAGAATTTTTGAAAATAGGGATAACAGATGCCGCTTTCCAGCATGCCAGAAAAGAAGACTCTGCTAAGTACTTGTTAAATAGTTATGAAAGTATAGACAACAGCTCCGGAGAACACTTCTGCAAGACTACATACCTGTTGCAGTCTTGCAGAAATTTCTTTTAAAATAATCACACTCTTTGAAGAAAGGAACTCAGATAGTGAAAAATCCTTTTTTCAACTAGTCTACTTAAATCAGTAGCCAGTTTATTTTTTGCTTCTAGATCCTAATAGGTCTGAAAATAAAAACCACAACTCAATTAAACTTTTCTTTTTTTAAAACATAATAATGTCTATATTACTTTTGAAGATTTTAAAAACATTTAAATTTAAAAAAAGTAGATTCCATGCGAGCTTTACAAGCTACTTGCATACTTAAGAACTTAAATGAAAAAATTAATAATAAATAAATTTATAAAAATATACTACTCTATTTTATATATAAAATCCTACCATTACATCACTTTATAATTTCTTTTTTTAAAACATTGGGTTTTAATCTAAAAATCAATCTATATCCTAACCTATCAGTTGACATATATACTAAAGCTCTACTTACCTTTATTTAAATATGATGTAACCAGTAGTTTTATACAGACTGCAATCAGCAATATAAAACTCTATTCTGTTTCAATTTATCATGTCATCTATGTTAAACTATTTTTTTTTTGACATCATACCGTGCTGTTGAATAAATATTACAACCTACATAAATTTCAAACTAAAAATAATGGCTGGAGCCAAGAAGAAGACATTATTTTTGTCTTATCACGGAGCACCAAGTTACAAAGTTTTTCCAAGAATATAAAGTATTAACTAAGAAGTAAGATTGCATTACAAATAAATTAACATTACAGATAGGTCTCAATTAATAATTAATACCATAAATTAATTAGATAAAACAAAATAACAAACAAGCAAACAAAAAAAAAAAGAAAGAATTTAAAAGTAAAAAAAAAAGTAAAAAAAAGGAATTAATGTTTATGATTTTTTTTCAGTAATTATTCAATTAATTAAATTTAAGGTTTAATTAATTACATTGTTTTTAGTTGATGTATGGGGATTACATGATTTTATTTTACTCACTGCTTTGATTTAAAAAATGTTATAATACAAGAATCACTGAAAAAAACTTGAAAGTATATAAAGGAAAGTATACAATTAAACTACTATATATATATATATATATATATATATATATATATATATATATATATATATATATATATATATATATATATATATATATATATATATATATATATACATTTGTAGAGATGGGTATCCGAAGAAATATTTTGTTATTTTAGATACCTGGTAACTTTAGGAGGTGCCTGGTTACCCCTGTAGCTAGGTAAATTTTTCAAATGCTGGGGTATACTGGAAGATGATAGGTACCCTGTAATTTATGTATGTTTGCCAGGTAATTTAAAATGACCTGGTACTCGATATGCTGCAGGGTTTTCCAGGTAACCAATACCTCATTTTGTGTTTCTGGGTTGCCAAGAACCTTCTAAAATTAAAAAGCACCTCCAAAATTACCAGACACCTTCAATAATTTCAAGTTAAAGAGACTACCAAGTCCCGAGACATGTTGTGTTCATATTAAAGAGAATGTTATTGAATTTTTTTTCATTAAAACTAATTAAGTAATGTATACCAAGAAAAAATAAATTTTGTTGTTTTAGTTGAAGCTTGTTGTCTCCATTTTCTGCGGTATTTGGAGTTTGTAAAATAAACGCGATTTTTAAGGCGCATTATACAGACTTGATAATTTATTCAAGTGCATTTAATTCATAGAAGTTTTAGTACATGATGTCATTGGAAATATTCTAGAAATTCTTTAAAAATTTTACTATTAAATTTACTGAAATAGCTAACTATAGTTAGTTATTTTATTTTCTAAAATCTTCACATTAAAAAAAACTTTATGTTTTTTTGTAGCAATCAGAGCCATGGCTACATGGGCCACGGCGATGGTGGACTTAGGGACCCCAATGGCGCCAAATCGAGTTATATAATATCTCTGATGATTCACAAGTGTGTTCTTTACATTTTGATGCAAGTTGTTTCGACAAATCTAACAAACAATTAATTAAACCAAGCACTAGGAAAAGATATAATAAATAAGAATATACTAATAAAATATATAATTTGTAATGAACTTTTAAAATTTTGACAATTTAAAAAATATATATTATAAAACATTTATTTTTGTAAACAAATGATAATAGTTTTAAAGATTTACGGCTTTACAGATTTGTGGCTCCGAGAGATGTGGCTCCGAGAGATGTGGCTCCGAGAATGAGCCATAATATTAAAGTAAAAAAATTTATGTAAACAAATCGTAAATAATACAATTCCTAAAACATTTCAACAGAATACTCTAGAACTTTATTTTGCTTAGTCAGCGTATTTTTTGAACCAATAGAATTAGTTTGTTCGTAAAATTGGCGGGTTTTTAGTGTTCCCGAATATTCTTTTTATTCTTGCGCAAGATGTTTTAAGAACATTCAAGTTAATTATGTTTCCATGTATGTCCGTAAAATAAAAATTAGAATATATATATTTATTTTTTAATTTTTAAGCCCCTGCCATAATATATATTGGATGTTATAATAATGGAAATATAAATAATGAAATAAGATAATTTTTTTTTAATATTTACAAAGTAAATTAATAAAAGTGCATTATTATTTAGGTTAAAAATTATTTTATTTAATGTTTTAAAAGAAAAACTTATAACAAAAGAAATCAAAATACATGTGGTTTAGACGCTTATTTAAAAAAATTTGCGCAAATAAAATACTATTTTGTTTTTAATTTTTTTACAAACACATTTTAGAACTTTAAAATATAATAAAAATGAATATGATTTGGAAATTGCATGTAAAAAATAATAATCGGTGTTTTAAACAAACAAACAAAAAAATCTATGATGTCATGTACTAAAACTTCTATAAATTAAACGCACTTGAATAAATTATCAAGTCTGTATAATGCGCCTAAAAAATCGCGTTTATTTTACAGACTCCAAATACCGCAGAAAATGGCTTCGACTAAAACAATAAGATTTGTTTTTCTTGGTATACATTTATTAATTAGCTTTAATCAAAAAAAATTTGCTCAGTCGTTTTTTTTTAACATTCTCTTTAATATGAACACAACATGTCTCGGGACTTGGTAGTCCCTTTAAACTAGCATATATGAAAAAAATGTTTACCAAAATTTTTACTAAAAATACTAACCTAGTATGTTTTTCGATAGTTTTTACTTGAGATAAAAGACAAAGATTTTCAGCATACAACTCTAAAATAAAAATCATAAATGCAAAACTATACTTGCAATGATTACAAAAATTACAATGACAAAAGCTTACAACTGAGTTTATATTAATTGCAAATAATCAGATATTGCATGCTATTGGTTAATAATCATACAGGTTAGGTGAATTAAGTTTTGCAATTATATAAACTATATAACTATGTGGTAGCGGTGTAATGGTAGAACACAAGCTTCATATGCAAGTAGTTTTGAGTAGTTTTGATTCCCAACACATGCCTTGAAGTTCTGGGTTCAACTTGAGCAGCGGCTTTGTTCACCAACTAATTTTATTTTTTTATAAATTAGATATCACTGATCTAATAATAACTCAGATACCAATATAATAATACAGATGCTATCTGGAGAAATTTCTACTGAAAATTTATTGTATATTGTCTTGATGACATAATAAAAAATTCCTGTCCAAAAGCTGTGCAATGATTAAACTGCCCAACTGCACCTTATGAGATAAATAGACAGAAGAATATCATTTTTAAGTTTACTCAATTCATCACTACTAAATTGGAAGTAAAAAATTCATGCGTTTTTGTTCTTTATCATCCTTCATCTTATTAAGACTGCATTCTTTGATATTATTTCTGATCATATTGACCAACCCCTTTCTCTTTAACCACCTGCCAATATTGTTAATAACAATGGTTTGAATGTTCATCACACTTAATGGCTTGCTCTAGTACAACTAAACCTGCTAGCACTAAAGGTCATAACTTTTGAACTTTTACATAATCATTTACCTTTACTTCTTGATTTGTGTCTGACCCTAAAATTGCACTTCTTACTATTTTCATAAAGCTGATCAGGATTCCTTTTGTGATTTCCTTCTTGACAGTTATATAACTGATGCCATTTGCCTCTCTGCTGATATTTGCAACTCCAACATATTTGCCTGAACTCAGGCAAGGATGTAAATTTTTATTCTTTCTAGTCGGTTTCAAATTAATTTAAGTTTCAAGTTACATTACCCCATTATTTTCACTTGCGCAGCTATTACTTTTAATCCTAGTTCATCTTTTTTTAAGTACAGCTTTGTGGAGAACAAATTATATTTTATTACTTCAAGAAATGCGAAAAGGTGCTGTCTAATAAGCTCCATCATTCTCAGTTTACTAAATTTTATATTTTAGCTTAGAAATTAGGTACTAGAGACTTTTAGAAAATTTTTTAACAGTGTCGTTAAAAAAGACATATCTAACATTCTTTTTTATCTCTGATACCTCTTCCATAGACAAAGGAGAACTCTTTGCAAAAACTCTATTTTGTATCTTGAGCCTCTTATCTGACCACACTCTTCCTGTCATCTCAAAGAACTGCAGGGGTGGCCAGCCAACTAAATAAAATTTTATATACTACTTGCTGATAAAAAGTCATCAATATTAAATCATATAGACTAGGAAGCCAACTCTGTGACAGCATGGGGCTTGCAGTCGTGAATTTTAACCCAAACAAAAAGTTTAGCTTAAAATTTTGTTATCATAAAACTGTTGATATTGAATTATAACAGCTAAATTTATGTTACAACAAACGCTAAGTACTTGAATCAACAGATGATTCAATGTTATCAAATGGATGTTGGAACGATTTTGGCAATTTTTTAAATAAAGTATCAATCAGATCTATTCCAATAAATTTTCCACTTTCCATTATTTCAATTATTTCTTCAGTGTCACCAAACAGAATATGTGAATGAGGTTCAGTAAAGGTTTTTCTGCTTCTAAATACTGTATTTGCAATTAAAAGCATTCGAAGTATTAAATTAACTATTAAATTTTTTCAAAACAAAATATGTTTATATAAATGAATAAATTATATTATTAATAATTAGTTTATACTATCAATAATTAGTTTATATTATTAATAATTAGTTAAAAATATTAACAATTAGTATATATTTTTGAATTAATTATGCTCATTAATTATGCGCATAAATTAGCAAAATCTGGTCATCAAAATTGACCTGTTTTTAACAAGAATATCTTGAGAAATTTACATGTTCTAAATCAAATTTACAAGTAATAAGTTTTTTTAAATAAAAAGCTTACTATTGAAACTTAAATAAACTGTTTTTTTTACTAAAGCTGGTATATATTTAAAAAAGTATATAATAAATATGTATGTGTGTGTGTATATATATATATATATATATATATATATATATATATATATATATTATAAATCAAAAAATAATAATGATTAAGTAAGTTATAGCTGTATGCCGAACATGAAATCTATCCTAAATGCACACAATCGACAAATTATGAACAACAAAAAAGATCTACCTAAAACCAATTGCAACTGCCTTAATAAAAGCACCTGCCCTCTATCAAACCAATGCTTAACAAAAAACATTGTATACCAAGCTAAAATAAGTTCAACTAATCCTACTACCAATCCTGTCATCAAACTATACATCGGTATAAGCGAAACACCATTCAAAATTAGATATGCCAACCATGTAAAATCTTTTACCATTCAAAAATACAAAAATGACACTGAACTATCAAAAGAATTTTGGAAACTGAAAGATGCAAATTTAAATCCAGTTATTAAATGGAAAATAATCAGGCAGTGCAATGCTTACAACCCAACCATGAAGTCTTGCAAACTATGTATAAATGAAAAATATCAAATTCTGTTTTCCAAAAATAAAAATCTAATTAACAAAAAAAGTGAAATGATATCCAAATGCAGGCATCGAAACAAGTTTCTTCTCGCCCACTTCGACACGGCTGATTAAACAATTTTCTAATTAAAAATTTTGTTTTGACGTCAGAACTCATTCTATTGCTTTGTTATTGTTTTTTCTGTTAATTTTTGTATTTTGTATTTTTTAACGGTTTTTCTTGTTTTAAAAGAATAAAATATGGCTGATGATTGCCGAAGGGCATGAAACTTCAAGTACCATCAAAAAGTTGTATTTTTTCAAATAATCAAACTCTATTATTATTATTATTGATCTATTTTGTAAACACTTACATTATATTGATCACTCTCAAACGAACAAGAGATTTTTGTATCTTAATTTGGTACAATAAAAACAACAAAAAACAACAATATATATATATATATATATATATATATATATATATATATATATATATATATATATATATATATATATATATATATATATATATATTATTTAAATGAAGAAAAACAACATTATAATAGCACTTAAAGTTTCATGCTTTTCGGCAATCTTCAGCTATTAATTACAAATTAAAAATGTAAATTAACGTTTAAAAAATGAACCAAAATTTTACGGTAGAACAAGTTCTGACGTAATTTGAAAAAGCGCAATCATTTAATCTCCAGTATCAAATGAAAATAACAGGAATTTATTTAAATGTCGACATTTAGATAATATTTCGTCTTTTTTAATAAGCAGGTTGTTTCCATTAAAAGATAAAATTTCTAATTTCTCATATAGAAAAAGTTTGCAAGTTTTTGTTTCTGGTTTGTAAGCTTCACAGCGTTTTACCAGAAATAAAAACCTGCAAACTTTGTCTTCACAAGAAATTAGAAATTTTATCTTTTAATGGAAACAACCTGCTTAATAAAAAAGACAAAATATTATCTAAATGTTGATATTTAAATAAATTCCTGTTATCTTTGTTTGATACTGGAGATTAAATGATTGCAACTTTTCAAATTACGTCAGAACTTGTTTACCGTAAAATTTTGGTTCATTTTTTAAACGTTAATTTACATTTTTAATTTGTAATTAATAGCTGAAGATTGCCGAAAAGCACGAAACTTTAAGTGCTATTATAATGTTGTTTTTCTTCATTTAAATAATATATATATATATATATATATATATATATATATATATATATATATATATATATATTGATTGTTGTGTGTATATATATATATATATATATATATATTTATATATATATATATATATATATATATATATATATATATATATATATATATATATACACACACATAAATATAACTTCATATTAGTATAACATTGTTCTTGTTATATTAAAACTCCCCCCTCCTTCCCTTTGTCACCGATTGTCCTTTTTCCTTATACCCCTCTTGTAAATGACTTTATAAACTCTTGACTCACCCTATTTTAACAAAAAATTTTTTTTTTTGATCTCATATTATCTTAATAACAACATATGTTTACATGTTAATAATCCAAGAAGAAAATGTAAATAATTCGTCAAAACATTATATACAATTTATTGCAGTGTTATCTTCTGTTAAGGTTGCCTTATTTTCTCTACCTTTACAAATCTTTTATTCATCTCTATATGGACAACTGTTGTTAAATTTGGGCTGGTTATTCTAATGATGATTTTTCTTTTCTAAACAGAGTCTAAAAATGTATTGTATATATAATAAGACCTCTAGCTGCCAAGCTTGAGCCTCTATCCCATTGCTGTAAGATTGTAATTCTTTCTCTTTTCAACAAACACTATCATGACAGCTGCTTAAATAACTCTTGCTATTACAATCAAAACTTAATTTTGACTTGTCAAATTTTTACATTTTCTTTGTATTGAACTTTCATAATATTTGATACCATTATTTTATTAACTGGTATTGGAAGTCAATCATTCTCTAATATCCATTCTGAATATATTTACATATTCAATTATATATTCAAAATTGTCTTATGTTTTATACAGATAACTTTTTAATTGGAAACCAATTACTTAATTCCTTAAATCTAAATTCACATGAACTTTATTCAATTTAATTAATATTTTATTTAATTAAATTTATGCATTTTTTGCTAAGGAAGGAGTAAAAAATGATTAAAAAAAAAAAGATAATTAAAAACTAAAATATAAACATTAAATTTTACCACTAGTTTGAACTGCTAATGTATCTCTTTCTTTGGTTAATGCCTTAAAAAAAAATGTATATGAGATGATTAAAGTATACATTACCAAAAAAAAAATTATATCAGATAACTGGAAGTATACATTGCTAAAAAAAAAAAGTATAACAGATAATTGGAAGTATACATTACCAAAAAAAAAAGTATAAAAGATAATTGAAAGTATACATTACCAAAAAAAAAATTATATTAGATAATTGGAAGTATACATTACCAAAAAAAAAAAAAATTATAACAGATAATTGAAAGTATACATTACCAAAAAAAAAGTATAACAGATAATTGAAAGTATAAATTACAAAAAAAAAAAAAAGTATAACAGATAATTGAAAGTATACATTACCAAAAGAGTATTAACAGAAGAGATAGATCATTAAAATGTAAACAAATAAAAAAGCATGTTATCATTAAAGTATTAACAAATAAAAAAGTTATTTATTAACAAAAATACAAATGATATAGTATTTAATCAACAAAATATTCAATAAAAAACAAACAATTTTATCAAAAAGAAAACACAAAACTTACAGCAAGTTTAAAAGACATATCATCCGTTTTAGAAATAAGTTGGTTCATTTCATTTTTGTGCTCCCTGAAAATGAAAAATGAAAAATTAAAATTTGAATTAAAAAAATAATACCCCAAAATAAATGAAAATTTAAAATTTGTTTTATGTTTCATTAACAAATAATTTTCGATATTTTACTTAATTAAACAAAAACAAACAATAAATTGATATTGTTTTAAACCAACTGTTAACATATAAATATCTTAGCATAGCAAATCAAAAATATTAATTTATTAAACAGTAGTATCATATAATTAAATTTCGTAAACAGTATTGACATATAATCAAATTAGTCTCACATTAATTTTTAATTGACAAGTAAGTAGTTTTTTTCTACAAAAACTTACAAATACAAAACTTTTTATGCACATAATTTCGAAATATTCTATTGAGAAAAAAAATTTGTTAATAGAGAAATAGAATTTAAAGAACTAAAAGATTTCTTCTTTCTCACAAAATAAATATATAAATATATATAAAAAAAGTGTTCACCTAAGTCTGACAACGGCCTAAAAGAAATTCTTGCTACAATTCTCTCTTAACTCTATAACCACAAAATAACTTGAAAAACAAGCTGTGTGAAGAAATATTTTAAAAGATTTTTTCGATTAATAAAAATTAATGGATTATAGAATGCGTTTACAAAAGCAGCTATACATCCAACTTCATTATGAAAACAAATCATTATTAAATTGTTGGCCTAAATAATGCAGTCTAGTAGCTGGTTCTTGACATAAATAATGCAGTTTAGTAGCTGGTTCTTGACATAAATAATGCAGTTTAGTAGCTGGTTCTTGACATAAATAATGCAGTTTAGTAGCTGGTTCTTGACATAAATAATGCAGTTTAGTAGCTGGTTCTTGACATAAATAATGCAGTTTAGTAGCTGGTTCTTGACATAAATAATGCAGTTTAGTAGCTGGTTCTTGACATAAATAATGCAGTTTAGTAGCTGGTTCTTGACATAAATAATGCAGTTTAGTAGCTGGTTCTTGACATAAATAATGCAGTCTAGTAGCTGGTTCTTGACATAAATAATGCAGTTTAGTAGCTGGTTCTTGACATAAATAATGCAGTTTAGTAGCTGGTTCTTGACATAAATAATGCAGTTTAGTAGCTGGTTCTTGACATAAATAATGCAGTTTAGTAGCTGGTTCTTGACATAAATAATGCAGTTTAGTAGCTAGTTCTTGACACAAACAACTTTTTGAATCTTTAAAGAGTACTTAAGATTTTATTAAACAAATATTTGATTTAAACATCAAACAATTCAATACAACTTCAAAGATCATGTAATAAATTTTAACTCTGTATACATTTTCAAAAACTTATTCTAAAAGTGTTAGAAAAAGTAAACTTTTCTGATTACAAAATTTTTGCACCACATGGGAATTATAATTTAATAAAAAATAAAATGTTTTACACAGGTTTTTAATTGAATATAGTCCTCTCTATTTTTTAACAATAAGATCTTAATTCCAAGAGAGCATGTAAAAATTTATTTTTTATTATTTCTAAGAAAATTAAATTTTTATGCCTGACAGGTCCAAAACCTGACTCAAACCATAATAAGGAAAACTTGTTAGGTTCATTCAAAACTTTATTCAAATCATCATAACAACAATATTGGGTGATCAAGAACAATATTGGGTGAACAAATATATTGGGTGATCAAGAGAAAAGACTTAACCAATTTGATCAAAAATAACATTAAAAAAAGTACAGCCTTTGAAAAAAGGAAAATAACAATGAGCAAAGAGAAAGATTATTGAGTAAAGAGTTGCTAGGGTTTTTCCATCTAAAAGAAAGACAATTAATACACATTAAAATAACCTTTTTTTTACTACACCATATCGATTTTGTAATGGGGCCTTTTAATGAATAATGCATGTTCTACTAGAAGAAAATGGTTGAAAAAGAGTACCTGATTATTTTTGAGAGTGCCAAATCTAAAAATGTAGAAAAGAAAACACAATTGAATTTTGATGATCATTTTTTTAAAAAAATAGTCAAAACAATTATTTTGTTTTGTTACCATTGGTTACCATTGGTTATGCTTTTACTAACTCCTAAAGTAACTCTCAAAGGTTTAAAAGATAATTTCATACACTAGAAGTGATGTAAGGCTATCCTAAAATCAAATAAGGTATATTATGTATATATATGCATAGCCTAAATATAGTTTTGCAGATGAATTGTTGCAGAATGTTGTTAATTTAAAAATAGATTTTAAAGCATGTACATAGAATAAATGTAAAAGAATCAATACGCCATTTCTTTTTAGTGTTTGTATTAATATATTTTTAATTATGTTTGTATTTCATTTACAACATGATGTGGTTTCAAAAAATTTTTAAGTTTTCCCATTTAACTTGAAACAAGTTTTAAAAATGAAAAAAGAAGAAAATAAATATTTGGAAAATTCGAAGAGACGCATACAATAGCAATTCTGAGCAAATGAATTGCAAATACATCCCTAATTTGTTTAATAGTCATGTTATTCAACGTTTTCCCCCCTAAAAATTGATCAAACACAAGTCTGGTGGTGTAAGAAAGGAGTGTTTCCAAGATATAAAACTGGTTAGAAAACTGCTCATTAGTTTTAAAATTAACCCAAGCCTCTCACTAAGAGAACTTGCAAAAAGATGCAAATGTTCTAATAGCTTTATTGTAAAAGTTCGAAATAAACATGGTCTTTATTTTCAAATCACAAAAAGTGTCCAACTGTTCTGAAATTCAAAAAAAAAAAAGTGCAAGAACTCATAAACTGCATAAAGTTGTATAACCTTTCTAAAAATGTCTGAAGTATTGAAGATGAATTGATATTTATTTGTTATGAATTATTATTTATTTTATTTTTATTTTATAAGTATTTATTTAAAGTTGCATAGCATATAAATGAATTTTACAATTTTTTCTTCATAATGTATCTGAAGTAATATTCTCTTTAATTATTGAAGATATTGAAATTTATATCAAGTACAATCACCAGCAAATTCCTGGTGCTGTCTGTTATATTGTTAAACATAAAGAAAGAGCAGATCAGAAACTTGAATGCACAAAACATGATAAATTTGCTAAAAAAACTTTGATTTAGCAAGCCATTTACATGTGTCACAAAAAAACAGCACCCTTTCCACATTTTCTGGTAAAATATATGATAAAAAGAGCTTCATCTTCTTATATGAACATATTAAAATTATTATGTAGTTCTAAATAAAAATTAATGAGTACCTTTTTTAAGTAGATTTTCTACTTACACATTTATTTCGTGTACATGCTTTATTTTAATTAAAATATTTCTTAGTAGTCTAAATATAGTTGTGTGATATCAGTTGTGTGATATTAGTTGTGTGATATCAGTTGTGTGATATTAGTTGTGTGATAATAATTTTGTAATATCAGTTTTGTAATATCAGTTTTGTGATATCAGTCAAAAGTTTAAAAATTGTTTTAATTGTAGAATTAAAATTTACTGAATTTTATTTGGAAATTCAATTTCTCATTTATAGCAAACAGTCAACATTGCTCAGTTGGAATTAAACTAAAAAGTGAATATCATCTAACAACATAAACTGTTGCTTAGAATTGAATTTTTATAGGAATGACTGTCACTGGGAACTTCTCATTAGTTTACATCTTCTCCTTCAATCATATCAATAATGATGATGATTTGCTCTAATATTTGATTTCCTCAATAAAAAAAAAATAAAATTGTTTGGATCAACTATGACATCGCAATACCTATTTTGAAAAAAAAGAGAAACTTTACTGGGTGAGAATGGTTTCTAAAACAAAGTTAAAAAAAAAAATGATTTTATTGTAAAATTCATGCATCAGCAATATCAAAGTTGGTTGTACTACTGTCCAAAATAAAATGATAGTTGCTGGGTGCCGAAAATAAATGTCATTACTCTTTTTAAGATTTTCTGACTATGAGTTACCAATCTCAAATGAAGATATAATCAGATAGATCTCATCCTATCATCAGTCACATCCTATACTTCACTTTTATTAAAAAAATCTTTGGTAGATGGTAATGGTAATACTTGGTAAATACTTTAAAATATTTGGTAGAATGATAAACACTTTAAAATCTTTGGTTGAATAATAAACACTTTGAAATCTTTGGTAGAATAGTAAACACTTAAAAATCTTTGGTAGAATGATAAACACTTTGAAATCTTTGATAGAATGGTAAACGGTTTAAAATCTTTGGTAGAATGGTAAACACTTTGAAATCTTTGGTAGAATGGTAAACACTTTAAAATATGCATAATATTTACTATAAGAATCCTTTTTGTTTTCATGTTCTTTTAAGCAGATTTAGTATTTCTATTCGAAAAATGTTGCACTTCGATTTCTCACTTTTTATTACAGCATTTTAGATTTCTTCATTATAAAAATGCAACTTGTAATTAAAATGTGCACAATTTTCAGAATTAATTAAAATGTGCACAATTTTTAGAATTATTAAACTAGTATTAGTTATTATAGAATTATTAGAGTAAATTATTGTTTAATATATTAATTGTATAATTTATAAATTATATCTCCTATCTTGTAATGTAAATTATTTTTCCATGTATAGTTGCAAAAATATTGTGTAGAATTTTGCAATTTCATTTTTAATGTTAGCAGGGTCATTTTTAATGTTATAAAAAACCTAAAATATAGTTATATTACAATTGTCTGACATCTCTTATTTCACAATAATAGTTGGACAACTCCAGGGATGAGTAAAAGTATCATCCTTAATAACAAAGCAAATATTTGATTCACCTTGATTAAAACTATAAATGGTCATCAATAAATTTTAAATTTTCTCTTCTTTAAATTCAACACCTTCAAAAATGGTCAAATACCAATTTCAGTCATTTTCTCTAACTAGAACTTACATTATTTATGAAAAAATTATTTTGTACTATGTAACCTTATCAGTTAATTCATTTAATTAAGTAAAAATTATATTACTTATTTTATGTGGTTAAATTTCTGCAAATAAAAAAATTGTAATATATAATAGCAATACAATTGATATGCAGAAATATATTCTTTTGTTCACTTAAATGTTTAGCGTTTAGCCAATTTGTGATAACCATTAAAGGTATACATGCTTTATGGTACTAAAAGCCTCAAAATCTTCAAAAAGATTTATAACTAAGTTACTTTTCAATAAAAATATTATTTTATTAAGAGTTCAAATAGTTATATTTCCTAATTTTTCACCAAGATATCACATCAATATTTTTTCATCTAAGATAATCTTAACCAGAACAACAGTTTGAATAAATATTTAATTTGCACATGTAATCAAATTTTAGAAAAAAAGTCAATCATATGAAAACGATAGCTCACTTGCATAACAAAACCATTTAATTTACAAAGATAATTAAAAGAAAACTTAAATAATTTATGTTACAAAATAATTCAGCAATAGATAAATTTATTTAAAAATCAACTTCAAAAAAAATATCAATACTTAGAGATCAGGATAATAACGATTTTAAACAAAGACCCGATGATTATATTAGGTTGACTGACATGGATGATTATATTAGGTTGACTGACATGGATGATTATATTAGGTTGACTGACATGGATGATTATATTAGGTTGACTGACATGGATGATTATATTAGGTTGACTGACATGGATGATTATATTAGGTTGACTGACATGGATGATTATATTAGGTTGACTGACATGGATGATTATATTAGGTTGACTGACATGGATGATTATATTAGGTTGACTGACATGGATGATTATATTAGGTTGACTGACATGGATGATTATATTAGGTTGACTGACATGGATGATTATATTAGGTTGACTGACATGGATGATTATATTAGGTTGACTGACATGGATGATTATATTAGGTTGACTGACATGGATGATTATATTAGGTTGACTGACATGGATGATTATATTAGGTTGACTGACATGGATGATTATATTAGGTTGACTGACATGGATGATTATATTAGGTTGACTGACATGGATGATTATATTAGGTTGACTGACATGGATGATTATATTAGGTTGACTGACATGGATGATTATATTAGGTTGACTGACATGGATGATTATATTAGGTTGACTGACATGGATGATTATATTAGGTTGACTGACATGGATGATTATATTAGGTTGACTGACATGGATGATTATATTAGGTTGACTGACATGGATGATTATATTAGGTTGACTGACATGGATGATTATATTAGGTTGACTGACATGGATGATTATATTAGGTTGACTGACATGGATGATTTTAAAGAAACCATTTGCTTGGTTTTTTTTTAAAAAAAGAATGTAACAAGTGTAAATATATATAAAATATAATATTGATAACTGCCAATATTATATTTCATTTTATTAAAAAAATTTATGTGCAACATTTTTTTAAAAATAGAAAACTTATTTCATTTTTTTATTATTAAAAAAAAAAAAAAAAAAAAACATTCCAAAACAACTCTAAAACTTTGTTTTGTTGATAAGAAATTTCTATATTTTTTACATAAAAACAATCATAGATTTAAGTTTTGAAAGGACCTACATCTAGACTTAAATCATAGATTTAAGTTTTGAAAGGACCTACATCTAGACTTAAATCATAGATTTAAGTTTTGAAAAGACCTACATCTAGATTTAAATCATAGATTTAAGTTTTGAAAGGACCTACATCTAGACTTAAATCATAGATTTAAGTTTTGAAAGGACCTACATCTAGACTTAAATCATAGATTTAAGTTTTGAAAGGACCTACATCTAGACTTAAATCATAGATTTAAGCTTTGAAAGGGCCTACATCTAGACTTAAATCATAGATTTAAGTTTTGAAAGGACCTACATCTAGACTTAAATCATAGATTTAAGTTTTGAAAGGACCTACATCTAGACTTAAATCATAGATTTAAGTTTTGAAAGGGCCTACATCTAGACTTAAATCATAGATTTAAGTTTTGAAAGGACCTACATCTAGACTTAAATCATAGATTTAAGTTTTGAAAGAACCTACATCTAGACTTAAATCATAGATTTAAGTTTTGAAAGGACCTACATCTAGACTTAAATCATAGATTTAAGTTTTGAAAGGACCTACATCTAGACTTAAATCATAGATTTAAGTTTTGAAAGAACCTACATCTAGACTTAAATCATAGATTTAAGTTTTGAAAGGACCTACATCTAGACTTAAATCATAGATTTAAGTTTTGAAAGGACCTACATCTAGACTTAAATCATAGATTTAAGTTTTGAAAGGACCTACATCTAGACTTAAATCATAGATTTAAGTTTTGAAAGGACCTACATCTAGACTTAAATCATAGATTTAAGTTTTGAAAGGACCTACATCTAGACTTAAATCATAGATTTAAGTTTTGAAAGGACCTACATCTAGACTTAAATGATAGATTTAAGTTTTGAAAGGACCTACATCTTGAGAAATAAAATCTTGAGAATTACTCTAGGTTTGCTTTTTACAAAAAAATACATTAAAAAAAATTCATACACTTAAAACAATTATAAACTGAAATAAAATTACATTTTTCTTCCTCGCATTTAATACTTTAGGTTCAAGTAAATTCAGTGCACTAATAAACTTCATGAATTATATATAATATACTGTAAAACATTACAAAAAAATTAACACACTTGTTCAAGTTTTCAACAATTTTAAGATGATCGTTCAACAAAATGATACTTCCTTGACTTTTTTCAAATTTTTCAATTTGAGATTTCAAAAGTAAATAACCATCTTTGAGTTCAAGTAACTCTTGTTCTGCATATTTCTTTCCTTTACTCTGTTCAGTAAGCTGATTTTCCAACTCTATCACTAAAATAATTTATATAAGTGGTTGTCAGAGATTTTTAGGTAATGACTGACATTACCATTTTAAATGTGGGACACCACTAAAAATAATGGGGGCAATAACTAATAATATTGTTTTTTCCTGCTTTTCTAAACAAAAAAAAATTTCATTCACAAACCAATATAAATTATTGCTTGGAAACCTATTCGGAAAATAAAAAAACTTGTTCTTCATTTTTTAAACTTTGCAATAATACTCTTATGAATAGTTTAAAAATCTTAATGAGTTTGAGGCTATATAAATATAAATTATAACAAATAATCAATAGTGACAAAACTATCAATAAAGAATATTTTAGTTTAGTTTCAAAAATTGATTGCATATTATCTTGTTAATGTTTCAAAAGTACTTTTAAGAGAGTGTTCATTGGTTAACTTGCAAATAGTTTCTTTATACAAATGTATCTGCTTTATTGAATCTTCATATTCCTCAAGAACAATCTTTGCTTGCTCCTTTAATGCATTCCTACAAAAAAAAAAATTAAAATGAACTTTTTTTAAAAAAATATTGTTTAAAAATGTACTTTTTAAAAAAAATTTACTTTTTAACAATTAACTTTTTAAAAGAAAAGTACATATTAACTTTTTGTACTTTTGTACAAAAAGTTAAAATGCACATTGTAATTTTTTAAAAAATAGACTTTTAACAATGAACTTTTTTAAAACAATATATAATTTTTAACAATTAACTTTTTAAAAAATATACTTTTTAACACTGAACTTTTTTAAAAAATATACTTTTTAACAATGTACTTTTTTAAGAGATAATCTTTTTAAAAAGTTATTTCTTCTTTGAAGAAAATTTTTTTCAAAATTTATGTATTTGTTGAAATTATTATTATTATTTTTTTGTTTGTATCCATTTACAAGAACAAAAAAAAAATATTTATCTGTTAATTTAAATAAAAATTGATAAATAATATTAAACCAAAAACAAGTTAACAAAATTACCACTTATCTTCCGGAATCATTTTATCTTTAATTTCCTAAAATAAAAATTTAATGATACCTAAAACAAAAAAGCGTAATGCCTAAAATAATTTTTTTTTTATGATACCATAAAAAAAAAAGAAACATTCACATCCCCTATTGTAATGCAAATTTAACACTCCCCATAGTTATGTGTATTTCATACACATTACATGTATTTTATACTTATATCCTTCACTATGAGTACTTTACGATTACTATATCATTCTCCCTGTGTATTCCATCTAATGCATCCATCTAATGGATATTTCACATCCACCTTAACCACTTTTCTACTTTTCAATATTAGTGAAGTTTTTAAAAAGCTCATGTCAACCTAATTCTTAATAAAAAAGGAATTAAGTGCAAAATTTAAATGACTTTAGAGGAAGAGAATGTTATCATATTGTAAGTTTAAAAAAATATTTTTTTTGCTAAATAAAAATGATATTTCAAAATAAAAAATAAAAAAAAAAACAGCCTGTTATTGAAAATTCTCTTTTTCTCTTTTGGGGTCGTCCATAAATTCCGTCACGCTATAAGGAGGAGGATGGGGGGGGGGTTGGTTGGTGGTTTTGTGACGACTCATTCAAAACTCGCTTCTTAAGTGTTATGATTTTGTGATAAGGGGGGTGGGGTGGCGGTGGGGTTGAAAACGGTCAAATATTGCGTGCATATACAACTTATAATTTTAACTATTTTCTTATTACTTTTAATAATTCAGAATAATTTTCTTTTTAATAAGCTAATATTATACTATGCTCTGAGCTTAGATTTCAACAAACTTATTGAACCATCATTAGTTTTTAATTTCTTCTTGCATTTAAAACAAATTTCTATGTTTTTATTAATTCTAATGAAATACTTCCATATATAAGTAATTTTTGCTTGATAAATTCTATATATTCTCATACTCCTTTATATTAAACCTTTAATAATCAAATCTTGAAAAATTGCTCAATTCTGATTTGAATTAGAGATTCAAAAACAAGTTTAAGAACGCTTTAAAAGTAATGAACAAAATCAATACAATGCAATGTAATAATATTGTATTGTAATACTAAAAAGTACTGTTTTTGTTCTAACAGTACATTAGAATCCAAAATCTAATGTATTGTTTTTATTCTAAAGTACATTAGAATCCAAAATCTAATGTATTGTTTTTGTTCTAAGAGTACATTAGAACCCGAAATCTATAGTATTTTATTTCTGTTATGAAAAACAATTAAAATAACAACTGTATTGTACTGCTGTTATGAAAAAAAATTAAAATAACTACTGTATTGAATTGCTGTTATGAAAAACAATTACAATAACTATTGTAGTATACTGTATTGCTATTTATTAAAAGCCAAAAGCTTTTGTACCTAAATGTATTTACAATTTTCTTCCTCGCATTTACTACCTTAGGTACAAATAAATTCAGGGTACTTATAAACTTCATGAACTATATATAATATACCTTAAGTGATACAATTATGTCATCTTTTTCTTTAAGCTGCTGATCGTAACTAGACAGTAATCCAGATATATACTCATTGCTAATCTGAAAAAAAAAATTCATTTTAGTTTTTCTCTTGCTGAAAAAAGTGTTAGTATTAAAGTGAAAAAGGTGAGCAGACTAAAACCATGTAAACCTGCAATAAAGGTGAGCAGACTAAAACGATGTAAACCCGCAATAGTAGATTTTTAAAAATAGCAGCTTAAGGTTTGCATTTTATTTCTCTTTCTTAATCCTCAGAGAAAGTTGTAACCACAACTAAAAGTAGCCTTCTTGACTGCAATGGTCTTCATGGCCTTGGAGAGGTGAATTGAAATTAAAAAAAAAAAGAAGTATTGCAGTATTATTGATAAAATTAAATAAATGTCAACTTCTTACTGAATCCTCTACTTTACATCAGGGATTACCATATACTTCTGATCTCTTATGAAAACTATATATAAAACCTATTGCAATTTTAGCATCTTCTAAAGTTTCCTCCCTTAATTGTGGTCACTATTTTCATACTCCTAATTGCAATCTCTACCCTTATAAATCTCTTATTTATCCTAGTATTTATTTTTTTCATATTAGAATGGGTTCTTCAAATGAGGTCCTCTCTCCTTTAGAAAAGGTCTAAAAGTGTCTTACAAATGTTATCAGAGCTGCCTAAGTTGCTAGACTTGAGTTTTTGTTACATCACTGTAACACTTTTTTAAAAATACCAACATGGTTGCTTAAAAATTAAAAAAAAAATCTTTGTTAAAAAATTCTCTATGTAGTGGCCTTTTATTTATCAAGATTGCCTTCGCGCCAAAAAACATCTCATCACAGCTGCCATGAGGAAGAAACGACTTGATTTTGCTAAAAGTTATATGCATTTGGATGTTGCAAAAAAAGATTGGGAAAAAGTAATCTTTAGCGATGAGTCAAAGTTTGCAATGTTTTCAAGTCGTCGACTGAGCATGCATCAGCCTGTAGGCAGCCACCGCTGCGACCCAGCCTACATGCAGAAGTCTATGAAACACTCCCATGGTGTCATGGTTTAGGGGTGTTAATCTGCAGTTGGACTGAAGGAACTTTATTTCTTGCCTCCAAATGTAACAATGAATGGAGATTGTTATATTAAGGTCCTTAATGACTATCTTCTGCAATTTATGTGGTTCCATGGAACTACAATTTTCCAACATGACTCACCTACTCTATGTTCTAGAATGGCCAGGAAACAGCCCTGATATCAGCTGTATTGTAAATCTTTGGAAAATAATGAAGAAAAAGGTACAACGCCATGATAAAGGATCAGTGAAGAAATTAACTGAATCTCTCAAATTGATATATATATATATATATATATATATATATATATATATATATATATATATATATATATATATATATATATATATATATATATATATATATATATATATATATATATATATATCAACCCTCAGAATTAGGAAAAATGAGCTCAATTTTTTAGAGGTCAGCATCAGCTCAGGAAAAAAAACTTGATACAAAGGCCTTACCATATATATATATATATATATATATATAAATATATATATATATATATATATATATATATATATATATATATATGTATATATATATATATTATATATATGTATATATATATACATATATATATATATATATATATATATATATATATATATATATATATATATATATATATATATATATATATATATATATATATATATATATATATATACAATATATATATATATATATATATATATATATATATATATATATATATATATATATATATATATATATATATATATATATATATATATATATATATGCCGACCCTAATTCTGAAGGCTGATATATACATATATATATATATATATATATGTGTGTGTGTGTGTGTGTGTGTGTGTGTGTGTGCGTGTGTGTGTGTATTTGTATATATATATATTTGTATTTGTGTGTGTTTATTAATTAGTTTTATTCTACATATAAAACTTCAATGCTGCTAGAGAATGTAATAGTTGAATTGATAGATTTATGATAAGAATATGAATTATAATAAAATAAATTTTTTTTAACTTGCTACTCTACTTGCTACACTACTTGCAATTATTTAATGATTTACAAATGATTAATTTAAATTTAAAAGTATGGATTTATAGAATTTACAAATATTTAATTTAAATTTAAAGGCACAGATTTATGAATTTACAAATAATTAATTTAAATTTATAGGGATGGATTTAAAAATAATAAATTTAAATTTAATGGCATAGATTTATTGATTTACAAATAATAAGTTTAAATTTAATGGCATGGATTTATTGATTTACAAATAACAAATTTATAATGAAGTTTTTGGAAAGGTAAAGATATTAGTAAAAATTGTTAACTAGTCTAAAAAATTAATTTTGAAGTGTCTTGGTAATATTGGTAAACATAATCTAAAAAGGATATAGTTAAAGAAAAATATACCTCTGAATATTGTTGTCACTAAAAAAGTGAAGTGTGGTTTTTAGCTGTGACTTGTAGTAAATATCAAATAACTGTGTGTAATAACTATATTTTAAAGCAAATAAAGATTTTTTGGTTTTTAATTGCAAATAATTCAAAAAGCAAAATAAAGTACAAAAGTATGTTAAACATTTTTTGTTTTTAATTGCAAACGATTCAAAAAGCAAAATAAAGTATTAAGTATCTTAAGCATATTTTAATTTTTACACAATCTAAAAAGTAGAAGTGTGAGTTAACTTTCAAGATTGTTTTCTTGTCTATAAAAAGTCTTGCTTTTACAGAAACAAGCAACTACTTATATTTCACTATTTTTAAGCATGTGAGAAATTTACAAAAGGTCATGCAATCAAAAGAGGAGGTCGTGCAATCAAAAAGAATTATAAAAAGCGCAAGTTTATTTTGAACAATTCGATGAACATATTTATTTAGATTCAAATTAAAATAAATAACTCAATCAAAAGTTCAGATGTAGTAATGCTTTATTCATTAGTTTATGTTACTTCATAATTAGCAAACTTTTAACAATACTAGTGTGTTTGAACATCTTTGTAAAATTTAAATTTTGTTTTTACAAATTTAACTGTTTATTTATTTATTTATTTATTTTTTGCTTATTGCAATTTCTTCACTTTTTTTTATATGTATATAAAGATTCCTTTGCGTAATCCTTGAACAAGTACTAATGCAAAAAAAAGTATATTTAAAAAATTAAAAACCATTTTAAACAAACTTTTCAGAGTTGAAATTTAGGCTTTCTTAAAAATTATGGATTAAAACTTATACATAAACATTTTTGTAAATATGTACTTATTCTATTTGGTCGCAACTTTGAAAAAAAAATTATATACTTAATAACTATATATATTTTTAACATTTTTATTTTAAAAATATCATTTTAACAGTCAATATTTAAAGAGCTGGGTAATATTTTTCTGACCTCGTCAAATTCTTTTTATTTAAACATTTACTCTCAGGTGCTTAATACAAAGGAGGGGTAATTAGTTGAGTTTTGGAAAATATACCTACTAATAAGTGACAAGGATTTATACTTGACCAGGGCCGAGGCTGGGTTTAACTGGGACCAAGTTTGTGACCGGGGTTGCATGAACATTTATACATCCTAAAGTATATTTTTTTAAATTTAAAATTCATGTCATATTTTGTATACATTAACATCATTATGCATGTATTAACATCATTATAATCATCATCATCATCATCATCATCATCATCATCATCATCATCATCATCATCATCATCATCATCATCATCATCATCATCATCATCATCATCATCATCATCATCATCATCATCATCATCATCATCATCAACATCATCATCATAATCATCATCATCACTATCATTATGATCATTATCATGATTATCATTATCAACAGCATAAAAGAAGAAGGCTAAAGCCTGATGATGATGATCATGATAATGATGATCATCATCATGATAATGATGATCATCATTATTATCATCATCATCATCATAACCATCATCATTAGGCTTTAGCCTTCTTCTTTTATGCTGTTTCTCTAATATAAACAATCTGGAGCATTTTTAAACATTGTTTATATAACAAAGGATAATGTATGCCAGCATCTAAATAAATAGCAAACATATATGTTTATATCCATGATATGTATGCATAAAGCGCATCTTGGAATCTTTTATTCTCTCTGGAATAAAAGTTTAGAAGCTTTTATTACTTCTCTTCAATTTTAAGTCAAGCCTCATTCTACTCCACATTTTTCATCGTCTTGAGCAGTTGTTTTATTAAACATTAATCATTTTTTTCATCTTTTTTACAAGAAAATCTCTCTTAAAAACAAATGCCCTTTTATTATTGCAAGAAGCCAATGTAAAAAATTCCGGTCTGAAATTAAGCTCTGTTATTCTCAGTTTACTAAATCTTGTATTCAATCTCAGATGTTAGGTTTTAGAGACTTTTGGTTAGTCTTCAACAGTTTCATTAACTAAAGTAAGTCTAACATTTAATCTCTAACTCATGGGTCTGATCTTTTTACTTCTCCCCAGTATAAAGTAGAGTTATTTGCAAAGAAATCTTAGCTCTAATTTGACTCTTGAATATAATGGCCATACTCTTCCTTACAGTTAAACAGATTAACCGATTGTTAAACATCCAAATACCAAATTTAAATTCATTGTTATCCTTCTAATGCTTAAGATAATTCTCAATTAAACACTTCTACAGTTTGTGCTCCAGAATAGATTTACATCAGTCTTAAAAAGGTGTTCTCCAGAACTCTCTTCATTATTTGGTAAATTTTTAAAAAGTGCTAAATAAGTGGTTCCAATTTTTCAAAACTCTAGAAAACATTTTGACCTCTTAAACTAATCTGCAATTAGTCTTCACTCTTTTATAGGTTTCCTAGTATTTTAACTTATTCTCTATTTCAAAGTAACTCATAACTTAATAATAGTTGCTTGCAATCTTGCTGGTAGTAAATTAGAGCTTAAAAATATATAAATGTATGCCAGTATTTAATATATAGAAAATTTAAACATAAAATTATAATATA